TCATCCGTTAAACAATTCACAGTGATTATTAACTTTCACTTGAGTGGAGACACACCGGTTCTTCTAACCGTGGGAACAAACCAGACACATTTTAGTTGTGAACCTATGAATCATTTACCTTTTGTTGCTACAAAGACCTCATTGCTTAGATTCTTCAGACGATCCGCAAAGACCAAAAGAACTAGAATACTGTAATTTGAGGCAGGAAGTAGACCATGTAGTACAACAGAGGAGCGACTGGCGTCATAAACGGTCACATTCTGCGAGGTGATATTGTTGTCGACCTTCCTGTACTGCACCATATAACCAGTGAGTTGCGGTACAGGTACAGGATCCCAACTGACATGGACTTCAACGGAACTGATAGCACGGGCGGATATATTTTCTGGTACTGCAAGTAGAAGGAAATAGCGAACGTTTGGCCGTACAATAAAGCTATAAGAACAGAAACGACGGACACTGCAGGATTGGAGATAAACCAATACCTTAACGTGAGATTTTTTTATTCATCAAAACACTACAAGCAAGAACTAGGCAGCACTGCGTTAAGGCATTAGACTTACCTTCTGCTTCAATCATAAAGTAAACGGGTTCTGAATAAGCACCCACTATGTTGCCCTCTGCACGCACAGTAACACTGTAGTTAATAAAAATGTTCACATTCTCACACACCAACGAGTGATCCAAACCACTAACGACTGTTTCATTACATGTAGCATTATTGCTGGTATAATAAACTGCCGTCACAAGCACTCGGTATTGATGGATTTCTGAAGAATTAATGTTCTCCCAATGTACGTATAAGCCTCTATTTATGCTGTATACAGTAACGTTTTCAGGAGCTGTGCGAAAAGAAAAGAAATACACAAAAATGAAACATAAGTAGGTCAAGAGATGGTGCCAAAGACGATGATCCCTTTAATTTTCTCTTGATTTTTTTTGTTTTTCCACCGATCCACCCTTCTTTGTATAGATCTAAAGCAGGACTCGACACTCCTTTATGCAATGCAATTGAAAACCTTGCTTAATCTCTTGTTATAAACTTGATGTAGCAATCTTTTGAACGGCCTTACACCAGAAATTTTACAAGGTACAGCATTAGAAATGTGCCGACGTGAACAAAAAATATCACAAAATGTCGTTTAATGAGAGTGGGAGCTCACGGGACCGAGGGTTAGAAATGCCTTTGTTATGACGCCTTGCAGACGTAATGTTCTACATTACCCTTACACAGACGTTTTTGAGGCATGAAAGGCACCCGGAAGTTATAGTGTTTCTTCTTAATGTTTCTTCAATCATCATTCAGTTTAAATGCTATGAGACGGCTTTCAGTCAAGTTGATTCTTTGATGGACACAAGATGTTCTTCGGTTAAATCTTCACATAGATAAGTTAGGCATACATGATTGTTTCACCACCCAGTTAACTACTCATGTACGCTTTTCGCATTGAAAAAATCTTCTGCGCCAAAATTCTCTATAACAGAGGAAGACTTGCTTCAATGAACAAGTTCTGACGAGACTCGTTGGATTTTCATTCAATTACCCGAGCGGCCTTAGCTTTACTTAATTGATCATAGAGAAAATGGCATTGGATATCAAATTATCACTCATAATTAATATCCTTACCGACCGGTCTTGTCCACACCACTAATTCATTGCTTCTTTTGCCAACTCCGTTCAAGGTTACCAGTCTGGCGTAGATGTCGTACAGAGTCCAATGTTTCAACCCGGGTATCAAAAAAGACATCTCAGCTGAAATCACCCTTTGACTCTGATAATTCACTTCGTCTATCTCTTTGTAGAATATGATATAGCCATGAAATATTCCGGCTAAATTCAACTGTGCCGCAGAGGGCGAAACTGTGACATTTACAGAAGCAACGTTTGACTTGTTCGAGGCAAAGATGGTTATACCTTGGAGGTCCACTGATTGTAGAAAAGCAAAAAAAAAATAGGAAAAATCAATTATCAGTTATTGCATATGGGATGAAAGTAGAAATACCACTAAACTTGCTATTTACATTGAAACCAAAGTGAGTTTTCTTTAGTAGGACAAACATTTGAGTTGAATATTGCATTAATGGCATCCTAACGGGGCGTCAATTACGGTGTAACCTGTGTCGACGAAGTCATTTAAACAAAACTGACCAATCTAATCACAGGAATCGAACTGCAAGTACCATCTAAATTATTTGTAGTCCATGCTTGCTTTTATCACTAGTACTAATTGGCACAATTGCATCAAGTTGAAATCCCTGTTTGAAACAGTGTGATTGGTTGAGTTTGCTCAAAAGACAATTGTAATGAATTGATACTCTAATTCGACGGAGTTCCAAACCACTGAAGGTTTCTACGCAGAATTCGCCAGATTTCCCTGGAACATTTGCTGGTATCGATTTAAACTCTTGTTTAAAAGAAAAGGCATCGTAGCATTGACAAATCTGGTCAAAATTCTGAAGTTCATTTCTCTGATCTATCAACCTATAATAAGTATAGATTGACTTACTTTGCCCTACATAATAATTAATTAATTTTAACTAGATATTATTCATACTACTTGATCATACTTCATACTTGATTGTATTGAAAAAATTGTTTGCCTAAAGTGACAAGATACGCTTTTGTTGACACCTTCGCTTGATTGTTTATCCACCAAAGTCCATGTTGGGCTTAAAGTCGTCCCCAAGTTCAGAAGATCGGGAACTTGTCCATTGGAGTCATTATACACAACCGTCACAAAGGCTGATAGCGTTGACGACACACTGTGGAGTAAACATAAGTCGAAATGAGGTAAAATAATGTTTAAATGAGATGCGCATGTCATGTGTCAGAGGCTTACGGTGCATATTAACATGGATTTCAATTGCAGTCAATTTTTAGACCTTAACAAAGATCCCAGACGAGAAATATCATTCGGATGTCAATTAGTTGGGTATGGGAGCAACTCTTTCATCCATCTGTCTATCAGCCATTCATGACCCCTGCCAGTTCAATTGTGCACTCGTTCATCGATTAGCCAATCGGTCAGTCGATTGATCAGTTGGTCGGTCAGTCATCCCGCAAGTCATTTAGTACGTTGGTGAGTCACTTAGTCCGGAAGACGTTGAGTTAGTCAGTTGGACGATGGGGCGTTTTGACCGTCAGTCAGTGAGTCAGTCAATCGGTCGCACAGTCAGTAAGTGAGGTCTTTCGTGTAGATCGGTCTGTCAGTCAAACAGTCAGCCAATCAATAAGCTAGCTAGTCGGTTAATTGGTAATTCAGTCGATCTGTCTCTCTGACTTCTTGTCACTCTTCGCTATAATCTTATCTGTTTGTCTGACTTTCTTGGTGAATTTATGTCTATCTACATGACTGTTAGTCTGTTGCCTCTTCAGATTATTTATCACTCGACTCACCTCTGTTGTCTATATCCATACTTCCTTAAAGTGACAGTGTCAATGTTATCTGCACTTGAAAGTGTCTTAACCTGGCAGATCAAGAAAATAACAATTTTTTTTTAATCGGTTAGTTACATAATAAAATATCTTGCTCCAGAAAATAAGAGCGCACCAAGACCGAGCAGGGCCTGATTATTAACTCTGCAGCACGAGCGTTTCTCTATCTGTGAGAAGAATTCAGGCCTTGTGAAAAGCGAGCCGTTGAGGGGTATATTAGGAACCTGGGCACTAATAATGTTATTGACTTGTTGCAAAACTCTCGCTAGCTCTCCTTTCTCAAACTTACTTTCTTGCAGAGGTGAAGAAACGCTCAGGCCGCAGTGCTTATTGCAAGAGCCTTCCCGCAGGCTAACTGTTGAATATTAGCTTTAATATTTTACCCAAAAGTGCAAGGAACTGTATCTACTTCAATCAGTTCTCTAGAATGACTTTTGAGCATTTGACGAAAAAGATCAAAGATAACCTTTCAGCTCGATGTAGTTTTTATTATTGTTAAATTGGGAAATAGTTATATTTATTTTACTTCTCTTACATGTTAAACTTTATTTGTTAGCAGATGTATTTCTTTTTGGTAGAAATAACTTATTTGTATATTTTTGGAGATGTATTTTTAAGCAGATGTACTTTGCAGATGAAGAGCCACCTTGTGAAAATGCTATAAAGTATCATTATTATTATTATTATTATTATTATTATTATTATTATTATTATTATTATTTTATCAGTTTGGTTCAGCACATTTTTGTGGCAGATGGGAGTTTAGTAAACATTTTTCGGAAAAATTTCTTTGACTTAGCAGCAACCTCACTAGAAATTGAGACGGAGAGGGATTTTTATTCTCTCCAAGAATTATGTCCATTCATCTACAGTGTGAAAGCAGTGAATGTCACGTGGAGCTACTCACCTCTTGGATCAGAGAAAAAGAAGCTGCCTCCATTTTCTCCAAATCTGTATAAAACGATGCTCCTTGGTCGTCTGTTATTTCTCTTTCGAGTGTAAGATTCACAGTATATTGTGTAGCTGCGAAAAGACAAACACTTTTTACATGGTGAGGTTAAAAAGTCTTCACCATTAAAGTTGTAGAGTGTGTTACAATAGTACAAACGCTGTAAATATTTATGATGAATGAACTCTTTCCATCCTAACATTGGCACTCATACTCTCCACACTGCTCTCTTTACATTTCCTATGATACTGTCAAGGATATTTTTTTGAAAATCGGGAGCTTCTCAAAAGGTGATCATTTCAAGGGTGCATGATACTTTAAAGAGTAATAGGAAAAAAAGATACCCTCAGTGATGAAAGATTTAAAGGGGAAAAGTAGACTTTTCTTCTGTTCTTTACAAACTTCAGCTTAAAACTATTGATCCTCAGCGTTCCATTAGCATGGAATGGAAAAGAAGCTAGGTGAAAGAACAAGGAGGAAGGAAATATTATTGGGATAGAAAATCCGACATTGTGTTTGTTTATTGTACCGGGTTAACTAACACTCATCCTTAGAACGAAAATAGTACCTTTGTAGTAATCGTAGAAACGATGTATGTATCCGTCACTGATCTTCTCATACCAAATGGCAAACTCGTCAAATGTTGCTGTGGGTGATCCAGTTGACAAATCACCGATGAGTACCATTGGTCCTACCAAGGTGTAATTTTCACTTCTCTCTTCAGAAAACAATGGCACTTGCAAATCTCTATTGAGGAAAAATTTTAGGGTAACGCAATCCCCGCTTAGAATGGAATAAAACTTGATCACCAAATGCGACCATATGTTCTGCGGTGCAGTGAAAACCCACCGACACCTTTTGAACTCATTCCGCATATCAACCGCAATGTGATCAAATGAGCCATTAAGCTGGAAAATCCGAAACCCTCTGGTAAGGTTGGCTGCGTCGATGTCGCTACCTCCAGTGGACAGAAAAGTCTGTTCGCCGTACCTGTTAGTGTGCTTCATCCAAAGCGACAGAGTTAGTCCTTCTGTGCACAGTTTTGGATCGGAAATACATCCTAAACTGTTAAATAATAAAGTTGCATTGGTTTTCCCATTTGTAAACACTGCATTGTCCTTAACTCCCATCGTTTTGCCATTGAAGCTTGTAGACCAACTAAGGATTTTATCTTTGGAAGAATGTACATGGTCA